GTCACTTTTTATTATGCAAAAAACAAAGTGTAATAACAATTCTTTATAAATAACTCTAATAGATTTTGACTATATATATACATATAACTGATTAGCTCAATATTCCATGCACCTGAATAGTTTATTATTTTTATCTCACGTGCTAATATGGTCTTCTTGGCGTTCTATATCTTTCATCAATCTATAAACCATTGGTTTTGTGAATTTTCTACAGTTTCAGATTTTAACATTAGTGCAGCAGTTTTTTTTTTCGTGATTTTCCGTCCACATAGAGATATAGTTTAATGATAACACATAAATTTTCTGTAGGATTAATTGCTGTATTTTAATTCTTTTTTTTTTTAGCACGTTGGGCAATAGTCAGTTTTTCGAAATATGAAGGAGCACTGGTTCGATGAATATCCTCTTTAGCTGAAAGCTTCATGTCTGTGATCTATCCTATACTCAAAAATAATTTTTAAAGCTCTTCGAATAGTTCTTTTCATATATATTGATAGCATCCTCAATTTTTAAGGGACGAAAGATTTTGCTATCTAAAACATTATCTCAAAACATTATATTACCTCCATTCCTTATATTTTAGATCGTGTTGACTGAATATTTTCAAGAACGAACCACCTTTGACACAGCCATCATGTCCAACCAATGTAGCTCTAAATTCATCCAGCAAAACTTACTGTTGAGAAATCGGTTTTCATATACTTCTTCACACAAATGTCACGTTTCTCTTTGTGATGTTAATATAAAGGTGGTGTTTTGTTTCTTTACATATCTTTAGTCAATGGACTAATGATTCTGCATCTTTTGTCAATGTTTTGCATTCGCAGCGCAAGCATCAAATATTTTACTTGTCGATCAAGACACTTTTTCTGCTAATAATAATTTTTTGTGGTATTTTTAAAGTCAGTTTTTATTTTTATTCTCATTTTGAGACTATTTTTCATTACCTTTTTTTATTCTGTGATTAGACATTCATAAGGCAGTAAATGAAGTCAAACATCTAGAATAAGTTAAAGGCGTCATAATGAGTTTCCTTTGGTTTGCTTGTTTAACGGCATATCAACTCCTCATGCGTAATTTAATACCGAAATTTAATTTTTCTGTATTGCTGGTATTTTTAAAATTCTTTTTTATGGAAATGTATTGCAAATACTTTTGAATGTATTTTTATATTTTTATGTTTTGAGGGTCTACTACTTGCCCATAGCTGGGACCCTAACAGGTGCTAACACACAGTAATTAAGAGGTGGTTCCACGCTCGTCAAAAACTCCCGAACAAAGGATTTTCTGTCGGAAGTAGTTTATCGTCATACCCAGCGCAATACATCATAATTCGTCAAGCTAACATTAAAATAACTACTTTTTTGATGGCGATATAAAAATGTTATAGGTGACTAGAATTATAGTGATTTATCTACTGTATTCAGCAGATATTAAGCCTTTGATTACGCTTTATTACCATTTATACCGCTCTTTTAAAAGGAGGTCCATAAAGTTCGAGTGCAATTTTAAAAAAAAATATAACTTTATTTGTATTTGCTATAGAAATACTTTGTAAAAAGTATTAGAAAGAAGTAAATCTATATTTTCTAAGGTTTTATGGAAATTTTATTTAAGTTTCCACATGTCCTCCATCATTAGCAATACAAAGGGTAATACGATTTTGCAGTACACGGAAAACATTTGCCAACTGATTTACAGTAATGCCTGAAATCACAATAGTTATTTTAGCTATACTTAAAACTAGGTATATTAAACTTTATAACATTTTTTACAGATTGTTTCTATCGGAAATACTAATAAAGTTATATTTTTTAAAGTGCACAAGAACTTTATGGACAGCCTTTATATTTAATTTATCAGAATTCCAATTCCTTGCGAGATTGCAAAAGGTACCGAATAATGATATTCGTAGAGAAAGATGTGAACATTTTCTAAGTGGATCGAATTGTGAATTTATTTGAAAGATAACGGACAAGGAAAACGATAAATAATTTCTTGTCGAAAATAGAAACAAAAAAGTGTCATTTATTTTTGCATAGTAGGCCGAACGAACTTTCTCGTCTACCCCGATGTCATCGTCTAAGAATTGTTTTTAAGATAAAACAATATATTTTTTTCTCAATTTATTTTATCACAAGTAAACAGCGACGATGGTAAATTGAAATCTTGCGTCGGATTGTCCTTTCTTTCTGACTAATATGTTTATCTTAATGGTTGTAAGAAAAACGATCGCAAAACTGCACCAAGAATAAACAGATTGAAAATGAAAGAAAATTAATTATAATATAAATCATATAATTAACTGTAGCAAATTAGTGATAGACGACACAATATGTAACACAGGTAAGCGAACGTGCATTGGAATAGCGGAAGATTCCTTTCAGAAGATAAGCTAAGAATAAAGACAAAAGAAAATTCTTATTTTTCTTTGCCTCACTCCTTATTTCTTCCAATTACATCTCTGTCATCCCCACTTTATTTCTCTGAATTACGGCTACGTCACGTTGGAACACCAGTTCCCGTACGATCCCAGAAGTTAAGCAACGTCAGGTCTGCTCAGTACCTAGATGGGTGAGCGCTTGGGAATACCACGTGCTGTAAGCTTAGATGTGCGGTTGGTGTAATAGATAATGGCTCGGAATTGTTAATCAGAGAGCAGGGTTCGTATTCTAGTCTGGTTCGTTATATTCACTTACGAGCAAATACTCTTGGGAAAGGTATGAAGCCGTCCCCACCCAGCTCTGTATTAATTACCAAGACTAATATTAATTAATCATTATTATCTACCCTCAAAATAATTCTTAAATTCTAGAAAAAAAAGCTGGCTTTAAATAAACTGCAAAGGGCTGATAAGTTGCAGAAAATGGATGAATCAACAATTTTTTTTTTCTGTAAGAAACATTTTTTTTTATCTTTGTTTCGCTTTCTTTTTCTCCAGTTACCCTACCGGCGTGACTTTCTCTATTTACTTCTTTTCTGCTTTTCTCCGAGTTATCTGCGAACTGCTAGATAAGGTAGAAAAAGAAAAGACAGAAGAAAGGACGAACCAATAATTAAATGTATGGCTACCACAAATTGATCCAATCAATGACGTGAGCTTCGAATTGGAAGCTTTCGAAGCAAGCAGTTACTCGCTTGGCAGTGACAGCCGGCGGAAATATATAAGAGGAATCGGAACGTGCATCAAAATAGTGAACGATGCCTTCATGAAACTAAGCAAAATATTAAGACATTGGAATATTTCGATAGAAAAAAAAAAGCAAATAGTGCAGAATTACGATGCAATATCAATCCTAATCTATGTCAGTAAATTCTGGAAGATTTCCTAAAAGTCGAAAAATGCACTCGAAATGGCAGAAATGTGATTCGACCGACGAATGCTAAAATTAACATATCGTTCTACAGAGAGATGCTGAGAATATTATGGGCAGAACACAATGAAGTTCTGCAGAATTTGGGAACTAGAATGCTGTTCTAAAGTAGGAATCAGCGTACTTCCTGCTCTTCATGGTGTTTACTCGTTCCACCGCTAGAACGGCGTCCTGGGTAAGACGTTAAATTAAATCCGCGTCCTGTGTAAGACATTAAACTACGTCCAGTAGCAAGGCTTCTGATCAGGAGGTTTTGAGAAGCGTGGAATCACTTCTTAATTGCTGGTGTTCCCAGGTCCACCCTGACCCGGGGTGGTAGCACATGTTAGGGCCCCAGCTATGGGCAAATAGTTAACTATTACGTGCAATACTAAAAAAATATATATATATATATTACCAGCAATACAATTCTGAAGGAAATATATTACCAGAAACACAACATTAGCAGCAATAAAAAATTTTGTCAGCATTAAATAACCCATTGAGGTTGATATACAGTTAAACAAAATAAACCAAACCATACTCCCACCAGAACGAGATGTGACACAAGGTCGTTTTAAAGTGGGGACCCGAGCGAGTGCACTCGGGCAGTGGACAAACATTTCCCACAGCCCCCGCAACGTGGGTTGCGCTGGCCTCGTTGCGAGCATCGATCCCTCCCTCTCGTGCAATGGGAGGGCGCGTCCACGGGAAGCTGTTCCCCAGGGCTGGGTACCTCTCGGTATTATTTTCTCAGTTGCTCCTCTGTCCTTTGAGGCCCCTGAGCGCACTCTGTCCAAAGACAGAGACGCAACTGAGAGATGATAAGTCTGCGTTAGAAACTCATCCAAGGAGGAATTTTCACGCTCTTCCATATTATTGTGACAGTGGACTGTTCATACATATAAATATGACAAGTAGCCTCATTAGAGAAGTTTTGTTTAGTATTGAGAAAACGTTTTATTATTTGAACCAATTTCATCTCTCCTTGTTCTATCAACCATTTACACAAGATCGTAGATACGTGAATCATTGGCTGTTGCCCAATGTCCTTCTTGTCTTCTATATTTTCGGATTTTACAATTCACCAAACATTATTTTCATTATGTGTTCTACAAATTTCAGCTTTCGCTTTCAGTTTCTAAGTATAAGTGAGTTTTCGTTTCCATTCTCTTTTGATTTTGACAAGATAGTGTAAAAACTCGTAAACGTTGAACCTGATGGTACAAGTATTAGAATGCTAATGATAATTTTTGTTTTCAAATGAATAAAAATCTTTTAAAAGTGTACATTAATAAATAAAGAGAAATAGGAACGCATGTAACCAAAGAAAACTGATCGGAAGTTGCAAGTCTACAAATAGCAGAGCTGAATCGCTAGAAGCTTATATTGCAGCTGCGTAAAAAGCGGACAAACGGGAGCATAGAGGTGATAATGTCACAGCTGATCACAGCGCGACAATGAAAGAAAACCGAAAAGTTCCAGGACTTTGTTCAGAAGATGAGAACATGAAAGTTGCTGTCATGTCAATAACAGTCAGCGAAGATGGAACTGTGATAAAAAACGTTCGTAGGGGAATGTACAAATTAGAATAATCGGGGAAAATGTTGGAACTATCAGAACAACAGTGGTGCTTAGGATACTAAGAAAATGGCGGCAACTTTAGTCATCCCTGATAACACAACATTCAAAAAATATGAATAATAATAAAAATAATAATACAGTTGTAATTTTGTTGAACATTATTAAACGCTTTCTTTTCTTTTTTTCTTTTCTTAATTCGCGCTCTTTTCTAAGTGTAATAATAAAAAAAATATAACTTCACCCCTTGCAAAGCGTTAATGCCATTAGTACGAAGGAGGTTACAGGTAGTGAAAGTGAAAGAGAAAGAGAGCGAGTGGACTGAAATTAGGTAGGATTGAGGAAGGGACAAAAAAAGAACAGGATTCAAAACAACAGAAAATGGCGATTAACGTTACATTTAAATTTTGAAAGATTCAAGGAAGCAAGGAAACGGAAGGGAGTTCCACAGGTGGGAAGTACGAGAAAAGAGACTGTTGAAGTAGAAGTAGCGGTTGCGTTTAGCTGCTTCAGCAACAGAAAAGTGGGACCTAATTACCAATCTAGTAGCACGTTTAAATTTACGTAGTTGGGTACCAGGGAAAAATCTCATCAGATCATTTGCCATGGAAATATTTGTAGAAAAGACAGAGAGAAGCCACGTCACGTCGGTGAGAAAGTGACTGAAGCCGAGCTGTCTGGCCAAGTATTACAGATCCTCAGATCAGCAAATCACTGAAATTAAAGTTAAGACATAATCGCAGATAAAACTATAGTAACGTCGTTGAACAATACTAGTGTCAGACGCCTTCGAATAACACTCTCATCAATAGTACTTGCTCGATAATTCTCGCTCGAAGAGTAACCACCGAATAGTGATCCGTATAGGGATCAGTATAGCGGAATAGTATAGAGCAGGGGTCGGCAACTCATTCGACGGGCCGGACGAAGGCCATTAATGAAAAATTAAGGAAAATTACATATGCAGACCTCTGTCAACCTAAATATTTAAAGCCATAATGAAAATAAACATTGAGAAATCAGAAAAACAAAAGAAAATCTAAAATTAAAAAACACCTAACAAAAATTACTTTTCCTCAATGAACGTCAAACTCAAAAATACTTCAAAGTGAAAAAAATCAACCGAAGTGAAATGGATGAAATTATGACGTGTAGGTTTGAAACTGTTATTGAAAATTGTTCCACAAACGAACCACACACACACACTCACATAAAACAAAAACGAAGCACATATACCCATACATACGAGTACAAATAGTTGCAAACATATACACTTACGTACGTACACATCCGGTATCATCCACACATTCATGAGGCATGTATGTATAATGCGCGTATGTTTAACTGTCTTTAGATTTCTGCTACCTCGCATGTCAGTCCCTCCCTGGCCTCTTTCACTTTATCGTTCCTTTTGCTTCTGTTATCTTTTAATGTAGCCAAAGGTCATAACAAATATGTATCCATTATTTGACATTAAACGTAGGAAACGCAACTTGGTAAAATAAGACCCATGAAAGATAACTGGCAGATAGTCTAATTCAAAAGCCTCGTCTCTCATGTTAAAAATAGAGTCATTGGTAATCAGGCTCGCGGGCCGTCCACCATGGTATAGAGAACAGCGAACCGTATAGTTATAGATGATAGAATAGAAGTGCAGATCTGTATAGTAATAGAGGATAGACTAGAAATAGCGATCGTTAGTCGTCACCATAATTATGCAATTTAATCCGTTTAATTCAATAATGGGATCGCCTGTGTTTGCACAATGGTGATCTATGTTCAAACTCAAGTGTCGGCAGCGACACTTTATTTCTATATAACGGATTTTTTGATAAAATCTTATCAAACTGGTTATCATAATTGGTATTTTTAGCTTGGTATATATTTTAGGCGCGCTACTCTCTCAATAATAATAATAATGATATGGATTCATCCTAGACATTCCAGATCCAAACTTACACCAATACTGTTGTATCATTAAAGAAGTTAGAAACAGACAAAGGTGGTACTCGAGTGAAAGGAACGGCAACACCGGCGTAGATGAAAGAAAGAGATGTTTATTGTAAAAGAGAATACACTACCGAAAGACAGGGAATCGGGTGGCAGGCTAGTAATTCGCGAAGCAAGCCACAAGGTATATCCTGAGTTCACTTTATATAGCTACTGATATAGTCAGTCCACATAGGCGATAGGGAGGGTGGGACGTTCCATTACAACAAATACATTACTAGGCACATATTTTAATGAAGACTACGAACTGTTAGAAATCTAATATCTGGGTACTTGTTGTAGAGTAGTTTCACAGTGGAGGCTTGTATTTCACTAAGTCGGTTCTAAAATAGGTTCGACGTACAAAACGTTAGGAACTTGATATAATAGGTAATGACGCAGAGAAATCTAGTAGTGGTCGCTGTTACTTTTAGTATACGACTAACGGTCGTCCGACATCGACTGACTGACCAACTCTCTGAGGATATTTAGTCACCCCACCCCCACGAGGTCATCATGTGGCACAAGGCAGGTTTAATGTGGGATCTCCGAGCCCGCTGGCTCGGCCAAAAATATGAACCCGTATAAACGGGTTCAGGGTCGGTTTACCTCCCCGAAAGAGAATCTGCCCTTCGGCGTAGCCTCGTTCGGGTTTCTCCCCGCCAGAAGGCAGAGAGTTCAG